GCAGTTCTATCCGTAGTTGTTTGAGAAAACTCCATACTGTTTTTCATAATGGCTGTACTAATTTATAGTCCCATCAAGAGTGTGTAAGGGTTCCTTTCTCTGCATCCCTGCCAGCATTTGTTATTCTCTGTCTTTTTGATAATAGCCAGTCTAACTGAGGCGAGATGATACCTCAATGTAGTTTTGATTTGCATTTCTCTGATGATTAGTGATGTTGAGCATTTTTTCATATACCTATTGGCCATTTGTATGTCTTCTTTTGACAAATGTCTGTTCAGTTCCTTTGCCCAGTTTTTAATCAGATTGTTATATTTTTTAAATTATTAAGTTGTTTGAATTCCCTGGATGTTAATCCCTTGTCAGATACATAGTTTGCAAATATTTTCTCCCATTCTGTAGGTTGTCTTTTCACTCTGTTGATTGTTTCCTTTGTTGTGCAGAATGTGTTGATATAGTTCTGTTTGTTTATTTTTTATTTTGTTGCCTGTGGTTTTGTATTCTTTTGTCTGTCTCAATTTTTTTGTTTGAAGCCAAAATCTTATATAGGATGGTAGAGACTGAAGTAAATAGATTTTATGCCTGGAAATAGGCATCCCACACTTCCTTCTGCTAGTTCTTCAGTGTAAAGTTTTGAGTTAACATAGTTAGAAGTTGGGCTGGGTTTGAGATTGTCTTTGCTGTCTACCCTCAGTGCAACACAGGCTTCAAATTCCTGTAATGATTCCTTATGTTTAGGGTGCAAATTGGTTTTCCAGAGCAATGTCTTTTCCATACTGAGCTTTAGATCTTCCCTTTATACTCTGTGCCTCAGATGGTCTCTTTACATTGCTCTTCTGCTTCCTCTGTTCCTTTCCCAGCAGTATTTTGCTGTTATAGTTACTTAAACTTGTTTGCTTAGTGGTGTGGGGAATTGGGAGGAGGTCATTTTCTGTTCTGCTTAAGCCTCAGTCTTAGGTACTATGTTTCTGGGTCTCAGGTGTGTGGGCTTCTCAAATCTTTTGCCTCTCCCCTTGTGTACTTCTGGGCCCTGTGCATATTTTTGCCCTCCCCCAGCAGTATATTTTTCCTGTTTCCTTTGCTCAGCTACAGTGAGTTTCCATCAGTGTCCTAGGGGTGTCAAGGTTTGTTGTCCTTTCCCACACAGAGTGAGGCATTTTTTCCCTAAGTGAGATAGGGAAAGTCCACAGAATAGAGATCTTTATTCCTCATGCAGGGCCAAGTTCCTCTCTCCAAGGTCTGCACCTCAGTGGGTTCATTCTTAGGGCTCTTGGTGATCTTTTCTTCAAGTACCCAGTGGGGTTCATGGAGAAAGAGCCTACAAGAGAATGACCAGTTTCTGAGGCTTTGGTAGCTTCACACTGTCTTGCCAACCCACATTTTGTCTTCACCAGTTCATGAATATTTCTAGCTGAACTTTTCTTACTGTTTTTTGGTAAGCTTACCCCAGAGAAGTGAGTGTTCATGTCTTCTCTTTTCCTGCAGGAACTATATCCCCTCAGATTTTGAGCAAGTTTGTTGTTCTGCAAACTCAGCTCTCCAATGCATTGGAAAAAATTCATGAATTTGGAGTTAGTCTGGCTCATTTTTTGTCTTAACTGTGGGAATGATGCTTCTTCCAGCTTACCCAGAGTGGAAGCTATCTCCTTGCTGATGAATTTTTAGATAACCTCAGGTCCAGACTACTCCAGCCCTTCAGACCCCTGCATTGGAGTGTCCAGAACTTCTCCTTCTTCTGACTGTTGTTGTCCAACTGTTCTGTTACACGTGCAGTAAGTACATGCTGACTATTTGGGTGTACTCCTATTTTCAGGTATTTCAGATGTCCCCATTTGTTTCTTCTACTTCCTCTCAGCAGATACTGGTACTATATTGCCTCATAGCTTAGTGGATTGTCTCCTCCTGTTCATATTTGGGTTTATTGGGATGCCTTGTCATCTAGTTTTGTTGCATATGTCGCTTATGAGTTTTTGTTTCATATTCTAGCTCTCTCTGTGTTTTAAAAGTAGATGATTCAGGGAGGTTCAAAAACTATGATGATTTGCTGCCACTTTCCTCCCAAAATCTTGCCTTCATTTTTTGAAAGATATTTTTGCTAGATATAAAATTCTAGCTTAACAGTTACTTTTTAGTTTTCTGATTAAGGCAGTTAGAATTCAGTAACTGTCTTGATGGAAGAACTGGAAGAATATTGTGCTTAATTCCCTTCCCCTCACTTCTCACCAGAATCTTGGCTCCTCAAGTCTCTAATAGTTTTTCTCCATTCCCAAGAGACTACACAGAGGTCTGCTGGTTTCTCTCCTCTTAGTAGAGGAGCTTACTCATATCCTCACCCACTTTTGTGATGGCCAGAATCAGCAAATGTCCTGAGGGAAAAGGTGGTTTGGAGTGTCATTGCCTATCTCTCCTGGAGTCCTGGTTACTTTGTCATTTTTCCTGTGTCTTCAAACAGAGGTTTTAAAATTTTATCTGCTTTCCTAGTTATTTTCAGTGAAAGTATTAGTTTGATACAAGCTACTCCATTATATTCATAATCAGAAGTCCACCTACATGCTAAGTATTTGCAAATTTCTTTTTCATGAACTTCAGAAATTGCTGCATAAGGGAGACATTTTAGGAGGTTCCTTTTCAGATAAACTCATCTCTGCTCCTCAAGAAGAAAGACTCTCAAAGGTGAACAAATATGACCAAAACTGAGACTGTGTTACATTATTGCATCATTTTTCTCACCTCTGTTTTAGGGTTTAAAAGGTAAGGAATTATATGCTAATACCAGATTAATTACGTTTGAAAGCTGGTTTCTCATAGACACTGCAAAGATCAGTCCTAACTTCTGCACTTTCAGAGTCTAAATTAATGGGACACTACTACCCTTTGGTCATTATAAAGCCCACAGTAGTGCTGCCATTTAAAGTTATTTCCTCTTGGTAGGTTAATTATTGTTTGCTTTTCAAAGACTCAGACATAGGCACTGACAACAAATCACAGGACCAATGTCCATTTTTGGAGATAGAGATCTCTGTGCTGAGGAATCCACCAGGGAAAAGGAAGTCCCACAAGAGTAGAATTGACTACTAACTGTGCTTTGTGCCACAGTGCCAAAGATACCCTTAACTGTATATTCAACATCTGTGCAGAAAGTTTTCCAGAAAAGATTACATTGTGTTTCTGCAAGGTCTGCTTCCTGGGGGCTATCCAGAAAGGGTGATAAGGTTGCAGAAAAAATGAGAACTATCTTCTGTTCACAGGACCTGTATTGCCATGAAGGAGTGTTTGGATCTTAGCTTTACTGCTCAACAGCTGCATGACCCTGGACCACTCACTCATCTCTTTGTCCATGAATTTCCTCATCTCTAAAATCATCCTAACAACGTTGACTTCATAAGGCAATTGTGAGGATCAACTGTAATAATAGGGGAGAAAGTCACTGGTAAATTTCAAAGTGTAACATACTGGGCAGGGATTGGTGTGATTGCCGTTTCATCCCCCCTAATGCTTCTGGGGTCCCAGGGCTTGGAGAGTTCTAATCCCACATTTCATCCAGTGCGGTAATCTTCTTCTTAATGTCCCATACAGGTGGTTTGTTAGCTTCTGTGTGCAGAGCTCTTTCCCAGATGGGAGAGCTTTCCCTTGGGCTTTTCTGCCAGCCCACACCCCAAGTTCTGGGTGATCTAGAGCTTTTGAGCCCCTGTGGTTGAGGAACAAAGGACAATGAAGACTTCAGAAGCTCAAAGCTATCGTGCATGCTTGGTTTTACCTAGCTTCTGATCTAGGAAACTTGCAGCCTCCTGTTGGGATGTCTGTTCAGCTCTGAGAATGGGCTTAGTTTAATCTAGACCCCTTTCTCTAAACACTTGGAAATTCCTAGGGGAAGTCAAGTGCCAGTACATCCTTCCAGGGTTTCTTTTGGGTCTTTTAAGGGGTGATTCTTCTGAAAGGTCGAAGTTACCTGATTCTGGGTAAGAGCTGGGGGCACCTAGGAACCTAAGTAGTAGGATAGGGAAGAAGAAATAACAAGCAGGAAGGACGGTTTAGCACTTTTACATTAGCTAAGGACTAATTTATACTAACCTTTTTATACATAAAAAATAGTCATAGGATCTTCATAAGCTATTTAATCATGTTATATGAGAGTGTACGTTGTGTATAGTTTACTTCATATTAGTTATTTTCACCTGATGTTATCAAGTGATAACATTAGGTCTAAGCAAATTAGCATAATCCATCACTGTAAAAGGCTACAAGTGATCTCTAGAGGTCTTTTCTTTTTTCTGGCTCTTGGGTCTTCAATTCTTGGGTTCTGCCTTAGTTCAGGTTGCTATAACAAAGTACGATAAACTGGGTGGCTTATAAACAACAAACATTTATTTCTCACAGTTGTGGAGGCTGGAAGTCTGAGATCAGGGTGCCAGTTTGGTTGGGTTCTGGTGAGGGCCTTTTTTGGAGTTGCAGATTGCTGTCTTCTTGCTGTGTCCTCACATGGCAGAAAGAGAGCGGGCTAGCTCTTCAGCTTATTCTTATAAAAGTGCAAATACCATTCATGAGGGCTCCACCCTCATGACCTAATCATCTTCCAAAGTCCTGACTTCCTAATAACATAGCATTGGGGGGTTAGGATTTGAACATATGAATTTGGGGGACACAAACATTCAGTTCACAGCAGATTTCTTTCTGTAATTCTTTTAGAATGACTTGGACTCTTTCCCAGTCCACTTGGGATGGACTTCTTGTCCAGCCTGGAAGCAGAACAGTAGCCTATATGGCCTGTCACCTTTTCTTTGGTCTGGGACTCTGTTGACTTGTAAAATTTTAATTTATAGTTACGATTACAGTCTAATTTTCAGATTCTCCACAGACTGCTGCTTGGAGAGGTTCAACCTCTTACAGACAGGTGCAATAAAAGAATTCTATCAAAAGGATTTGCTGAATTGTGATTGACAATAAAGTAGCCTTGTGGGGACAAAATGTATTCCTGACAAGGGAGTGTTATGTTTGTTTTTCAGCCTTTCCTCCCAGTGCTTCACCTGTATCTCTCCACAGACAGAAATATTTCAACAGAGAACCAAGTGAAAATTATGACATATTACCTTCTCAAAGTCCTGAACTCCCATTCCTACCTCAGAAGGGACTCCTCTGTTTGCAGAAACTAAAGGCAGTCCCTAAGGCCACTTCCTTCCCAAGGGCAATGGTCTACATCTTCCCAAGTATTCTGATCTCCAAATGTAAGTTCAATGACACAAATGTCTTTCTGCAGCCTGAAAGAATTTGTCTTTGTGTTGTTAAGTAATATGATAGTATCTCATATTTTCTTGGTAACATTTAGAATGTTTACTATCATAAGGAGATTTTAGAGTTATGATCAAATTGCTTTATCTGGGTTATGTATGATTTTTTTATTCTTGGGAAAGCAAAGTTCTTTATATGCAGCACGTGTTCTCATAATATCCAGGCTGGCAGACTTGGGAAAGTGTAGGAGCAGCTCCCATTTTGTAGGTAGAAACAGCAAAGCATGGAGAGACAAACACGTTTGCCAAGACAGTGATTGTCCACTTCACTTTTGGGCCATTCCAGGGTATCTCATAGGATTTCAAAGTACCTCACAAAATTTCTCTAAAACTCTCAAAGACAAATTCATTTTAATTAACTTTAATTTTCAAAAAAAGTTACAACATTTTGGGAGTGGGGTAGGTAAATTTTACAAAAACAATACAAAAAATTGATTTCAGTAGAACCAATGATATGTCAAACTCCAAAAATGTTTGGGAAGCGGTAGACTAGTCAGTACCAGAACAAGCACTAAAATAACCCAGGTGAAGTACTGAACAGTATAAACTCTTGACTCATCCTCCCTGGATCTGTATCTCCAAAGGCAGTGTGATAGCATGCCTAAGGATATTTCAGACAGTGTTTGTACATCACTTGAGAATGATCCTAATGACCTTTTGGGGTGGCCGGATTTTTTTCACTGCTGGAGAGGTGAAAAAAATATTGATATACTTGAACAGTGAAAAATTTAGTTTGACTTCAGCACAGGCTCATGATGGTTGCATTACATCAAATATGTTTGGAAAGGTAGGTTGCGAGCCACATTTTTCAGGGCCTTGGATGCTATACTGAATCGTTTCAACTTTTTTCAGTTGGCAATATAAAGGCACTGAAGGTTTTTGAGCAGGGGTTAGAGGAGAAATATGAAATGGCCAGAGTTAGGCTCTAAGAATATTAATATGGCTAGAATGTGTAGGCTAAATTGGGGGCAAGTGAAGACAGAGATCAGGTAGAAACTTCCAACAGTTTGGATAAAAGGTGTTATGTAGGTTGTCTAACCTTATTGTGAGCTCTCTTATTGCACTAGTGTTTAAAGGCAGGTGAGGTGTTGCCTCTGGAATTCCATAGACTCTCTAGTTATGCTGGCCAGAATCTCTCCTGGCTCAACTAAAAAGAAAAAAAAAAAAATTGTTGCCTTGCCATTCAAAGAAATTTGTTTAGAATGGGCTTCTGAAGCTATGTATGGTACTCTTGGAATCATCAAATCTATGTGACTCCATGAAGCTCTAAGTCCATAGTGACTGTCTCCAGTTTATTGCATTGAAAGCAAAAAAAAAAAAAAAAACCACTTCAAACAGACCAAGTCTGAGGTACTTAACCCTCACATACTTTCAGACCTAGTATGTGTGAGCTTGAGTAGTGGGACCTTATTCCATTCCAATGTTAGAGGAAATGGGAGGATTTCCCTGTACTCAGTTTGACAGCCACTGTTTTACTTATATTAGATTGGGAAAAGATAAGGGCTGTGCAATTTTGATGTGAGCTTTTCTGTCCTTCAAAACTTTTTTCTAAGAACACTAGCCAATGCCTTGGGACACCCAGCAAATATTTAAAGAATTAATTTGTTTTAATAAAAAAGTTGTTTTTTTATACCTTTCATTATGTGAACCTTTAGCAAAGGAGATTTCAGCAATTATATATACTTCTCATGATAGACAAATTCCGTTATCTCCCCACTAAGTAAGAGAAATAATGCTGAATAATGGTAGAATAATTTTAAAGTTATGGGACTACCATAGTATCCACAAAAACCTCGAGTAAGTGCCATTAACCCTGACTCTAAGGGTTAGTTTGTAAGCCCTTGGCAATGAGATGGGATATGTTCCTTCAGTTTGAAACATAAGAAACCTATTGCATCACAGGTATGTTTTTATATTGATGTCACATTGAGTTGGTTGCTGCCATGTCCTTACATAGACAGTTCATCTGGTCCCCACCGTTCCACTTATTGTGATGGCCTGTATGTTTTTATTTCAAAGAAGATCTGTTTGAGCCAGCTTTTATTTCTTCTTTGACCTACTTTCATCACTGCCCATGCCTACCCTATTCCACTAGGTGGCATTCTCACCCATGAGACTATCACAGCCATGCACATTTCAAGAAGTGGCCAAGCGGTGGGCTGGGTTGTGCTTTCCTGACGAGATGAAATGCTTCTGGGTTGCTGGTATCCATATCCCTCTACTCCCGAGTCAGGCACCAAAGCACCATTTCATACCTGCCTGCCTTTCAAAGTCTCATAACTGTTCATCAGATATCTACTTTATGCAAGGCACTAAGGTAGGCATAGAGGCAATTTGAGCTAAAGTTCATGTCTGGCCCTCCAGGAGCTCACAGTCTAGTTGATACCAGAGGAGAGTGTCTGGGGAAGCCTGATGTCTGGTCTCAACCTACCCTGTCCTCTTATGAGGTTCTTGACTCCACCACAGGAAAGAATTCAAGAGTGGAATCACAGTAGATAGTGAGAACAGGTTTAATGTAACTAATAAGAGATAAAGATTTCACAGAGAGAGTACAGCCTAGCTCCAGAGGCTGAGAAGGACCACACCAAGTTTAACAAAAAAGTAAGAAATACACACCTCAGCCAGTGAAGTGTGGGTTGGCCCCAGGAAAGTGAGCAACAACCCCACCTCCTGCCTGGATTCCACTTATATAGTTTCACTATCTAATACATATTCGTGATATCTAATGAATATTCAATTAAAGGGGTGCTTCCCAGTTATGTAACATAGTCTTACACTTGCTCAATTGGTCTCCTTTCAGGGCATGTTCATTGGTCAAATCCTATCACATGCACCAGACATATTCAAGAGTATTCTGTGATCTTTAGTGCCTCGAGTGGAAGGTTATTCAAAGGGTAAACTCCCTTCCACTGAGCATGCTTGGTCACTGGGGTCATATAAGCTGGTATAAATTCCTTTTACTGAGCATGCTCAGCTGCTAGAGTTATATAATTCCTTTCTACCAAGCATGCTCAGCCATTGGATTTGCATAAGTCCACCCCTTGTGGTCTCAATCTCCCCATGTTGGTATCAAAAGTAGGTCCAACAAGCAACAGTAACTCTCCTCTAGGGGAGGGCCTGGAGGAGGGGCAAGAGACCTTGGTGAGTGGTTTGAAACCCAGAGGTGTGTCCTGAAACCCAAACCCAAGGAAATTGAGTGTCCCCTATCTCATAATGGAAGGGGGCAGATGGCATAAGAGCTAAAGCAGAGGAAAGTATGCTTCCGTTTGGGGGCTCTGCATGACTGGAGGCTCTGAAGGTTTAGGGGTTCATGACCTTGATTTGTGGGGCTATTGGCATAGGGTGAGGGGCTCCCTGTCATGCAGCAAATGGGGAGACTAGCATCAATGCATTATTTCATTGGCTGTGCCCTGATATTCAGGCCCACAGACCAGCAGAGGAAAGCAATGGCCATGAATGCTCCTTCCTATCCCAGGAACTGACTGACTGGGCTCTCTTGCAGTTTCAGAGACAGAGGACCAAATGTGCTGCCTACACTTCTCCAACACCAGTGAGTGGAAATATCTATAGCTATCTTCCTTGGTTTTATGTTATTTTATTTATTTATTTATTTTTGGCAGCTGGCCAGTACAGGGATTGAACCCTGGGCCTTGGGGTTATCAGCACCATGCTCTAAACAACTGAGCTAACCAGCCAGCCCTGTTATCTTATTTTCTTATTTACAGAAAAATAGAAAATTACATGCACAAAAGTAACCGTCACTCATGTTCCTACCAACAAGAATTAACCATTCTTAACTTCTTGATATGTTGGTTTTTGGATTTTTCTATGTTTATTCTTTAAAAACAATCACACAGAAAACATATAAACATTACCCCTTTTCTCATTTGTTTTCATCTATGTTCTTCCCGTTCATACAGGACCAATTCTTAGATTCAGTTATGTGGTGCCAGCGTGCTTTGACATAAATGTCTCACAGCATACGGCAGCAGAAAGAATTATGATGTTTTTCTACCTTTCCTCTATCCTTGCTCCTTAAATGTAAAGTTATTTTTTTCTGGAGTTTAAAAGTATAGAGTATTACAGAGAATGTGTATAATGTAGAAAGATGAAAATAAAAAAAAATCACCTGTGGTCCTACTGCTTGGGGAGAACCACAGTTGATGTTCTTTTTGGTATACTTCTCTCTGGTCTTTTTTCAAAAATTACCTTTGTGTTGTATTTACTGTTTTATATTCTGCCTTTTCACTTAATTTTCTGTATCCTTAGATGTTCTTCTACCTCATGATTTGTGATAGTTGCCCAGTATCTCATCTTATAGCCATAGCTATGTTATGCTTTATAATTGCTATTGCTAGACATTTAGTTGGTTTCCCTTTTTTGCTATTACAATAATGTGTGTTCTTGTACATAAATCTTTATGTGAATGTCTGATTGTCCAGGATAAATTTCTAGCAGTGGAACTTCTTACTTAAAGAGTGTAAACATTAAGACTCTTTTATTGTACTTTTTCTTTAGCAAAGTAATGAATGTTTATTATAGAATATGTAGGAAACAGATATACAAAAAGGAGAGCATAAAGTCCCCCTTATTCTTCCCACTTAGAGGTAACCACTATTAGCATTTTATTATAACCATCTAATCTTTTCTGTATACTCTACATGCTATTTTATACGCTTTTTACTTAATGTATTCTGAACGTTGTTTTAAGTTCATTGTTCTTTTGCACGTTCATTATGAAAGTACCACAATCTATTTAACCAATCTGCTGCTGTTGGATATTTAAGTTATTTTCTGTTTTTACCTACTGTCAACAACACAGAGATGAGCACTGTGTCTTTGCAAAAATTCTTGATTGTTTCTTTTGAATAAGTTCCTAGATGTCCAATTGTTTATTTCACATGTATGCACATTTTAAGGCTTTTGATGGATATTGCTAAATGGCCCTATAACAATTCTCATCTTAGAGGCAGAGTATGGGCATGCCCTTTTTTTTCTGAATTCTTGAGATTGCTGAGTATTTTGCCAATTTGACTACACAGAAATTTTGATATTTTATTTTAAACAGTTTAAACTTATTTAATTACTAATGAAACTGAACATTTTTTTCTTTTTACTTTTGCCCAATTTTCTGTTCTGGTATAGGATTTTTTTCCTTTTTTTCTTAAGAGAGTTTTTAATAAATTTTAAATGTTAATTCCTTGTCATTTGTGCAGGTATTCTCCTTCGACTAATTGTGACAAACTCTGTATGTCCAGATTTCCTAATATTAAATTGCACTCTTGGTATATTCTGTCCTTGCTTATGGTGGCTTGCTGGATTTGGTTTCCTGGCATTTCATTTAGGATTTTTGCATCTGTATTTGTAAATGACATCAGTCTTCAGTTTTCTTTCTTTGTATGTTTTTGTGTTGATCGTCAGGTTTTGTGGTCAGTATAACTTTAGTTTTATAAAATGAATGGGGCTTATTTCCTTTTCCTCTATTGGAAACCACTTTTAGAACATGGAAATTATGTTTCTTGTAAGTTAGAAAGAACTTGCTCATAAGATGGTTTAGGCACTGTAACAATCATTGAAGGAAAAAACATTTTTAACAGCACAATTGTTTCCATGTTTTCTACTTCTTTGTAATTCCACTTTGCTAACTTGCTAATTTTTAAAGAAAATTGTCTATTTTATTGAGATTTTCAAATTCGTTAGCATTTTTACAGCTTTATTAAGATATAATGCACATACCATACAAGTCACCCATTTAAAGTGATTTTTAGTGCATTCACAGAGCTCTATAACCATCATAAGAACCATCACAAAACATTCTGGAAAATTTTCAACCCCCTGCCCCCAAAGAAAAAACCGATATACATTAGTAATCACCTTCCATTTCCCCTTAACTTCCCTCAGCCCTAGACAACCACTAATCTACTTTCTGTCTCCATAGATTCACCTGTTCTGGACCCTTCTGTGTATAAATGGAATTACACACTATGTGGTCTTCTGTGACTGGCTTCTTTCACTTAGCATAATGTTTTCAGAGTTCATCTATCCATCCATGTTGTAGAACGTATCAATATTTCATTCTTTTTTTTTCAAGTTTTTGTTTTTAATTAATAAACTATTATTAGAGCAATTTTGGGTTTACAGAAGATTGAGCGCATAGTACAGAGTTCCCATATACTCACCTCCCCTCACTCTGAACCATAGTTTTCCCCACTAACATCTTGCATTGGTTTGGTACACCAATACATTATTATTAACTAAAGTTCATACTTTACATTAGGGTTCACTCTTTGTGTTGTATGGTTCTATGGGTTTTGACAAATGTCTGCCACATATCCACCATTACAATATCATACAGGATAATTTTGATGAATAGGAGAAACACAGGGGATTTTTAGGGCAGTATTTCCTTCTCTCAGAGCAACCACTGATCTTTTTTATTTTCTCTATAGTTTTACCTTTCCTGTATTGTTATATATTTGGAATGATACAGTATGTAGTATTTTCAGACAGGCTTCTTTCACTAAGTAATATGCATGTAAGCTTCCTCCATGTCTTTATGAGGCTTGATAGCTTCTTTTTATAGCTGAACAATATTCCATTGTATGGATGCACTACAATTTCTTTATCTATTCACCTTTTGAAGAATATCTCGTTTGCCTCCAATTTGGGGCAGTTATGGATAAAGCTGCTATAAATATTTGTGTGCAGGTTTTTGTGTGCACATAAGCTTTCAGCTGATTTTGGTAAGTGCCAATGAGTGTGATGCTGGGTCATATGTTGATACTGTTTAGCTTTGTAAGAAACTGCCAAACTGTCTTTTAAAGTGGCTGTACCATTTTGCATTCTCCCCAGCAATGAATGAGAGTTTCTATTGCTCCACATTCTTGCCAGCATTTGGTGTTGTCAGTTGGTTGGAATTTTGCTATTTTAATTGATGTGTAGTGATATCTCGTTGTTTACATTTGCAATTCACTAATAACATATGATGAGCATATTTTTAAATGCTTACTTGCTATCTGTTTATCTTCTTTGGTGTGGTATCTGTTTAGATTTTTTTTTTCCGTTTTTAAATTGGACCGGTTTTTGTTGTTGTTGTTGTTGAGATTTAAGCTTTTGTATATTTTAGATACAAGTTCCTTATCAGATATGTGTTTTGAAAATATTTCTCCTAGTCTGTGCTTCTCTTTTCATTCTCTTAACAGTGCTTTTCACAGGTCATAAGTTTTTGTTTTAATAAAGTCCAGTTCCTTTTTCTGGCTAACTGTTATTTCACTGTATTGATATACCATATTTTGTTTATTCATTCATTACTTGATGGACACATGGGTTGCTTCCTTTTGACTATTATAAATATGCTGTTATGAACATTCATGTCTAGGTTTTTGTTTGGACATATGTTTTAATTTCTCTTGGGTAGATACGTAGCAGTGGAAATGCTCAGTCATATGGTAACTCAATGTTTAACTCTGAGAAACTGCTCAACTTTTCCAAAGTGGCTGCATCATTTTGCATTCCCACTAGTAATGTAGGAGAGTTCCATTCTCTCCATATGTTCACCAACATTTGTTATTCTCAGTATTTTTTATTATATCCATTGTAGTGGATGTGAAGTAGTATCTTGTGTTTTGATTTGCATTTCCCTAATGACTCATGTTGAGCTTATTTTTATGTGCTTATTGGCCAGTCCCACAGAGCCACAGGAAACCAAACTGATCTGCTGGCCCTGGGGAATTTGAGCCTAGAGTACCTCTGGGCTATTCTCTACCAAACTATACTGCTGTCCCTGAGGGCTTATATCCTGTAGGCCCAGAGGGGACCATAAATTCCCCACAGTCCTTGGACTAGAGGTTCTTCGGGTTGTTGCAGGCTCCCCCACTCTGCCATAGAGTTGCTCATTCTCTTAAGGTAAGTCCTAGTCCACAGATTGCTTCTCAGTATCCCAAGCTCTGCAGGCATGTAGCAATGACAACTCATGATATCATGCCTACCTCCATCAAGGGAATCTCATCTTGCATTGGTCCAGAAGTGACTCTTAGAGCAGGGAACTATCAGAAATTATGCCAAGAGCCAAGCAAGGAAGGGCTGGAAGCATTTCCTTTATGTACAGAGCTTCCAGAAAGTATGTAAATACACATCCGCCGAAGCAGGTTTTTATCAGTCACCCATCTGGATTCCAGCCAGCTGATCATGCCTACCTCCAAGAAATCTCAAGATTTGGAGCTCTTTGATTAGGAAAGAAAAGAAAAGAGATGAAACCTGTTATCATGTTATTTCCACACTCAATGCCACATGGTTAGACTTCAGGGATCACTATTCAGCCCAAAGGACATCTGAATCATTAATTCAAAAAATATTTACTGAGTACCTACTATATAGCTGGAAAATCAGCCACAGTCTGTCCCAAGAGAGTCAGGGAGTCAGACATACAAGCAAATAATTTCAACACAATATGCTAAGTGTCATGATAGAGAACCCTGTATGATGCTCTGGGGTCACAGAGGAAGGGTGCCTAATCCAGTCTGATAAGATCACAAAAGGCTTCCTGAAGTGACACCTCAGTTAAGTTTTAAAGGTTCAGTAGAGGTTGGCCAGGGATAGAGAGAACATTCTTGGCTTAAAAGTCAGCCGCAGTAGGGGCACAGAAGTGTGAGCCAGCATGGTGTGTTTCTAAGATTGCTGGCATATTTCTTACCAAGGGGAAAGTGGTGGGAATGGTGACAAGAGAGGTAAGGTAGGATTCGGATCACTGAGGGTGCAAACTTTACCTTATATACCATTAGTTTGTACACATTGCTGAATCACTCAAATCATCTGGTGCACTTAAGCATTTTCTTGATCAGCTGGATTTAAGAATCTCATCTGGAGGCAACAGGAAGCCATTGGAAGATTGGTAGCACAGGAGGGACATAGATGGTCATATTGGATCACTCTGGTGGTGATCTACATGGGGGCAGGTAGATTCGAGAGGAATGCTACTGGAGTCAGAGAGACCATTTAGGAGCCTGCTAAGCTTGTCTAAGTGAGATATGGTGAACTGAGTAAGGCAGTAGCAGTGAGGATGGAGAGGAAGAGGCAGAATCAAAGAGATCCCAAAGTGGTGAAATCTTTATGATGTTGTAGGGAGGGCTGATAAGGGAGAGAGAAGTGTTTAGGATAATTCTCCAAGTTTCTGGCATGGCTGATTGAGCAGAGGGTAATACTTCTGACCAACATCAGGAATAGAGGGTGAAGAGACAATGGAGAACAATGTAAAAATTCAGATTGGAACCTGCTGAATTTGAGTTACTGTGGGACTTCTAGGTGGAAGAGTGACTGTTTTGTTCCGGAACTCAGAATAAGTGTCTGGGCTGGAAATACAGATCTGGCCCCCTCTGTATGGGTGGTTTAAATCCACGTGAGTTGTAGAGATCTCTCAGGGAAAGTGTGTAGCTAGTGTACCATCAAGTATTCTACCCCTCCCTGCCTTCAAGTGTTCTTCTCCCAGGGAAGCAGAAGCCACTTCTCCTTCCTTCCTCCCTTCCTTCCTCCCTTCCTTCCTCCCTTCCTCCCTCCCTTCCTCCCTCCCTCCCTCCCTTCCTTCCTTCCTTCCTATGTGTGAGTCAGGCAAGATGGGGTAGTGAAAAGGGCATAAAAAGTGGTGTTAGAGAACCTTATTCAAGCCCTGTGTCTGCCACTTCACCATTCTACAACCCTGAGAAGTTCCCAGCCTCTCTCAGCCTCTAGATCTACATCTATAAAACAAGGATATTAGGAATATCTTTTCACAGGATATTGAGATGGTCCAATGAGAATATATATGTGAAAACTACCATGTAAACAACCATAAAAACATTAGTTTTTTGTTTTTGTTTTTTTCCCCCTAGAAACATGGATCAATGTGTAGGAATTATAGGGAGGCAGATTTTGGCCCAATGTAAGAAAAGAATGTCTGATGCTTTGGCAATTGGATGATGGGAAGAGCTCTAGGAGATGGTCAGCTATGAGGCTCTAGAGGTCTTAAAGCAGAAGCTGGGTTGCTGGGCTTATGCTGAGAATTTTATTGCCATGGGTTGGGTCTCCCATCATGACCTCTGAGCTCCCTTTAATGGCTCAGATAGCATTTGAGTTACCAGAACAGTTCTTTACCCATTTTCTGAATTTTTTTATACTTATTAGGTTTTTATTAATTGTAGAAGCAATACAGGTACATGTTTGTTTTTCTTCCACTAAATCTCTTAAAGCCCTGGGCATCTTGGTTCCTAAGTGGAGACTTGGTTTGCCCTAGATAACAGGGCAAACTGCATCAGGCATTTACAGACATTTTCTAAATGCTCTTAAATGAGGATTCAGTGGGTGCTAAGATGTGGGCAGTCTGTGTAGTGCAATTAGGCCTCTCTAACACAGCCAGAGAGGAGGGATGGGCATCCTGATGTTGTGACAGTGCTGAATTAGAGATTACTGGAAAATAATCCATTTTTCTTATTTTCAAACAGAAATAATATTATAAACAGCTAACAAAATATTGCCATGTAGAGGTTTTGATGGAATATGCTCCAATGAGTAGGTAACGATCATTTGAAATCGGCACACTAATTATTTATATGCAAATGAATGTTAGAGAGCTTGGAAACAGTTTGTTCTCTGAACTGGGTTAAACATCCCCTAAAAGCTCATGTTTATGCTCTTAATTTACTCAGAAACTTGTTGCTGTTTTTCAACAGATAGAGGAAAGGTAAAATATAGCAACCTGTGATTGAATTGTCACAAATTTATAAATGGTATGAATTGAGTTATATTTTTCTGTATTTATTTTATTGTCAATCACTGGTGTAACACATTTGCTAAACAAGGCATAATTTTCTTGCTAACTTTCTTTACACAGAGATTATTTCTGTAAATAAAACATCTCTACCCATGTGGTTTGATGAGAAATTAATTACCTTTATGATTGTTGAATTGAATTTCCCAGCTCTAAAACAATTGCCCCAAATAATAGTAATTTCATACCTAGAAAATATTCTGCTAAGAAAAAGTTACTATAAACCATTTGGAGGAAAACAATTTTTAAAAGCCAAGAATATAAGAAAATACATTCAGTCCTAATTGTGGGTGGAACCCAGTTTCATCTTCCTGATGATTCAGCAGGCCTTTCAAGATCTGGTCTCTTTTTAATGATCTGTATTCATTTTACTGTAGCTATGACAAGGAATGCATGACAGAACTTTCTAGTTGATATTTTGAAAAAGTAAAAGTGTTTTAAATATGCTTGCCTCTCCCACCTTACTCTCCACCCCTCATTCTCATCCTCAGGAACTGGTGGATCAAGAGAGAGTGTACTCTGGCTGTGGTGACCTGGAACTTGAATTGTGGGATGATGGGGCAGTATGGCGCAGCAATCAGGTGGGAGATTCAAGGACAGGAACTATATGGAGGGATGGAAGTTGGGAGGGAGGAAGAGTGAGAATTTATGAATGAACCAAAGGGAGAAGCCAAGGAGTATTAGATCTTGAGCCAGATCACAGATAGTTGGTTCAGCATAAGGGGTAACAGATACAAGGAACAATGGGGCATAGTCCAAATCTAAGCCAGCTAAACCTTGCTCAGGTCATGGTGTCTGATCTGCTTTGGGGCCCCTCAGTGTCTCTCTTAATGCAGCACATTGTTAAGCTTTGATCTGACCCCAGCAGGATGCTGAACAGCTCAATAAGCAGGCCGTTTGGTAAGAGCCTTTTGAGTGTTTGTTCACTTACAACCCCACAAATCTCTCTTTACACCAGCAAATTACTCCATACAACTCACTGCCTGGACATTTTCTAGCAGACTTACTTTGGGGGTGGGGTGGGGGTGATGTAGTGTGCTGGAAAGAGCCCTGCCCGAGGGCAGTGTGGGGAAGAAGGCTTGAGTTTTAGTCAGTGCTCTGCCAGTAACTGGCCATGAAACTTTTGGCGAGTTGTCTAAATTTTCAGAGCCTTAGTTTCCCCATATATAAAATGAGGACGGAGGAGGCAGAGGTGTATAGTACCTCCATCAGTTGTGCATAGAAAATAATTCTGTGGCCTTTGGCATTTGGCTTGTTTGACTTGAGAAAAATAAATATAAATATACTCTAGGCATTACATTTGAGCTGAACCTATGAAAAAACCCTGAGATTCAAAATCAAACTATAAACAGTCAAATCTTTTTCCCAGCTTGTTTGTCAGAGCCAGGGGTGTTGAAGACAGTCAACTTTTTAGCATTTGTGGGAATAGCAGAAAGCAAACCGAATAGGGTGAAACAGTTGTGCTCCTCAGCCTCTTGCAGATGCAATAGCTTACATATCAGAGGTCTGCTGTGTTCCAGGGACTCCGATGGGGCTGATAGACCCCTAGTGAGTTATGCACCACTGACAAGCTGGAGACCTTTTCGTCCTTTGCCAAAATCACACATGGCTCACTTGCTGAACGCTGCGGTAAGATTGACTTGTCTGAATGGTCCACCCTGTCGATCCTGCCAGTGAGGGACAAAAGACATAAGGGCTGCCCATGGACCTTAAAATGCTAATTTAAAAAATAGCTCTTAATTACAAAAAATAGACTTAATTATTAGCTTACCACAGGCAGGCCACACATTTCTGAATAGTTTACCGAACCAGGGAATAAACGAATAGTTGATGAGTGCTGGTGGGTTCATTTGCATGCTACACCACACCCAAATTGTCATACTGCAACACCACAATTTTCAGCCAAATTACAAGCCCAACAAATTAACACAATTTTAAAATTTCCTTTCTAATTGCACTACAAACAGGAGTATTTCTGTCTTTTGGCTTTTTTGACATAGAGGCTTCCTCTTAAAAGCGGAAAGACTTTAATATAGATAAATCTATGTCTATAACAAGTAAAGCTCATTTTCCTTATCCAGCTGACTAAGATTTATACATTAATTAGTTAACCAATGCATCTTAAACGTCCTGGTTAAAATACACACTGCTGGCCAAGAATCATTCAACCCTCAGCATACTTTTGTTTGCCTGTAAGCAGTAAATACGCAGAACTGTAAATGGGTAAACTCGGTCTTTCCATACAGCAAGGTCAACAGAACTCATGGTGAACATACAAAGGATAGGAGACTAACTATTATTGAGATTCAGGTAAGTGATTTCTTAGGCATTTAAGCTGTCATGCTGTGGCATAATTGTAAACCCACCAGGAAGGAATTGCAAATCACAACCTACTTATTTTGTCCCCAATGGCTATATAGCGCTTTTTTTTTTTCTGTCCTGCAGTTTGTGCCAACTCTCTATTTAATCATTAAAAGAAATGTTATTTTAAGTATTGCTTCCTCAATAACAGTGTTTAACTGAAACTCTAAAGAATAGTGACTTTGCCCAGAGTCTGGCTTTAATATGCTGTCGTGATCTGAGGCAATCAGAGCTATTAGTAATGGAATGCAGGGCTCTGTGGCAATTTTATTTAAAGTTTTGCTTAAGTTAATATTACATCTGACTAATGTAACCATCTGTATTCAGCCCCATCAATGACAACGTAAAATTGTTAAACACCATTTCATGGGCATCAAGTGCTTTGGCTTTGGTATAATTTTATGATCATGCCTTATTGTAGTACTTTATCACTATCATTTAAAGATCAGTGAAAGCAGCAGCAAATATTCTCGACATATCACAGAAACCAAGGTAGTGGGTCTCCCAGCTTTGTGACTAAAATCTTCCTGCCTCTAGCTCTTCACCTGGTCTGTTACCTTGTCCAGGAATGCCCATCAAATCTTGGGTTAAAGGCCTTTTCAGAGAGGTCTCCTTTCTCACCCTAGTATTCTTGATCACTGTACCTATTTGTTTACTTCATTACAGTTTAAAATTATACCTGTGTCTTTTTTCTTGTTGTTTCCCCTGCTAGACTATAAGCTATACGCAAGGGCAGAGACCATGTCTATTTATTATTATTTTTTTATTTTAATTTATAAAATTTTTAATTGACAAATTATAGTTACATATATTTGTATGGTACAAAGTAATATTATGGTTCATGAATACAATGTGAAGTAATTAAATCAAGCTAATTAGCATATCTGTCATCTCAAATTTCATTCAAAGTAAGTAGGGACTCTAAATATTTTGGGGGGGACTCAAATGCTTTAATGAAAAATGGGGCAATGTGGTGGAATTATAATAAAGTAGGGGCCCTATACGCTGAGGACTTCCACATTCATCTCATGTTTGCATCTGACCCTGCCTAGGACTGTGTGACTTTGTACCAGTATACCCAAATGCTTGCTGGACATTTCCACATGATGACCCACAGACATCTCACAGTCAACATTCCAACCTGCAGTTTATCATTTTGCCTCTCAAATTTCCTTTTCTTCCTCAGAGTCATAGCTTGGATCATGGCATCATCATGCATGCCATCATCCACGTAAGATACTTAGCATTCACTCTTCCCTCCCTCCTCCTCAACTTCAGCACGCAGTCCTGTTAGTGGGTCCTCCTGAATGTCTCTTAGAATCTGTCCTTTCTACCCCAGGTCATACGGCCTTGGGTCAGGTCCTCATCATTTCTTATCTAGACTACTGCAATGCTTCCTCCTTCTCCTCCTCCTCCCTGCCTCCCTGATTTTATTCTCTAAAGACCACCTTTCTCCTCCTAAACAGGCAAATGCTGTTCTCTCTGCTTGGATCCAGAAGTCAGTAAGGGTTGACAGTGTGCAGAAGTATCTGGAACCTTACTGAGTAAGAGATATTCAAATATTGTACACATATGATTTCTCCAAGATTCATTTCCTTTTTGTTTTCCTGCTATGAATCCAATGGAATAAGTTATTAAAATGCTTTGAGCTTCTGAATGAAAGCACAGAACCATGCCAACAGGAACGACATAAAGGTTTCCTTTCTTTATTTTCCTCTAGCATCTATCTTTGATGGATGATGTGACCATGAATCTTCACTTAAATATGGAATTCTGAAATATCATAAAATCCCGAAATGTCAGAGCTGGGCAAAGGCCATCTGGATCCCATGTCCGAAGCTGAGAAAAAGGAAGGGCTTTATTTAACATCACACAGTGAGTTAGCTGCAGAATTAGGTCTGAGACCCAGATCTCTGTATTCCTCAAGTGATTATGAGGCTTCATTTGGATGTATTATTAAAACACTTGGCAGCTCTGTGACCCACTCCCCACACTAGTGTGGCAAGACTTCCTTCCTTCATCTGATCATTTTTTGCTTCTCTTGTGCCTGAGTGCTGATCAGTGAGATTAGGAAGAAAGTCTGACCCTAGTGATTTTCAAATGAGGCACCTTGGAGCACCAGAGGATTTTTCAAATTAACTTGGGGGTCTCCTGCGTGCATCAGTCATTAGGGCTCCAAGTAAATAGGGCCCTGGGCTTGTAACTCCCATTTCAGCCTGTGTTTTTATTCTTTTTATATGGGCTTACACTACCATTGGATTTAAATAAGTGATTCCATGTTGTAAAAGTTTTGAAAACTACTGTGCCTTGGGATTTGCTGGTTTGTTACTAGGTTGACTATTAATATATAGTGTTTCTGTCAATTTTGTGTTTATTATTTTTTACGTTTACCTTTCTCTTTACAATAATAAAAAGACAGGAAAAAATTCAGGCTTTCTCACATGGGTTTGGTAATTTGAATCTAGATTGTCTATACCTAGTTAATGGACCAGTGCCTAAGGCTGGGGTTTTATGGACTCTTGGGTGTTTGTTGGTATGGATGTGTGAGGTCCACATAAAGGGTCTCGCCCTCCCTCTCTGGCCAGGAAGCACAAGAAATTGCTTGGTAGAAGGTGTGTTATCATTTGGAATCTAGTGTGTCTTTTCCAGTTTACTTGAATTCCATATCTTCAGTCTCTGATGCTGACCTTTGGTGAGCAAGGCAGAATGTATGATTTCTGAGGGCCAGACAGTGTCGTGTGCTAGTAAAATACCATGTGAATGTCCATGGAAGGGGAAAGTTGATACTGAAAATTTATGACAGGTGTCATTGTGAAGGGTCCCGGGGGTAGTCTTCTAGTTTCTGGCAATGGAAGGTGATGGTAGAAGAGATTTAGAGGCTTTGAATCATGGACAAATGATATGTCCCGTTTGACTGTTTTCCTTTTGTTGCCCAGAGGTGGTTGGCATGCTTTCGATACTTCTCCTTTGCATGATGAAAGGCAAAGCCACATCTAACTTCGGTGGCCTAAGGCAAAAGTGTAAATTACAAGCTCACTGCAAAGTCCTCCTTCTCTTCAACATCCTAGCTCTGTCCCTTACCCTAAGGGGCCTTTCACACATACCTATAGACATCAGCCTTGCTCCTCAAAGTGTGGACCCCAGAGCATCAGCATTACCTTAGAGCTTGTTAGAAGTGCATACTCTCAGGCCCCACCCTAGGACTGCTGAACCAGGATCTGGATTTTAATAAGATGCTAGATAATTCACATGCACATTAAATTGTGAGAGCACTGCTGTAGCCCACATGTTTAGGGCAACAGCTGCCCTGTGTCCACCCTTCAGTCAGCCCTCAGGCCTAGGGTTTAGTTCATCCTTAGGAAGGCAGTACAAGGGAAGAGGATAGCACAGGCCCTGAATGCAGGCTTGGGGTACATGGACAGGGAATTTTAAGATCCTGGATATTCCAAGAGCAGCCTAGAAGAGGGAAGCATGAACTTTGGGTCAGCAAGTCCCCTTGGCCTTGTAAACTCCTTGCCCTATGGAGAGCAGTGTAGCTGAAGCAGGGCTAGATCAAGGCCCTATAAATTATGGGGCCTAGGGCAGGGACCCGGTTGTCCCAGTCTAAGACTGATACTATTGAAAGTTGTCCTAAATGTCCATGAGGACGGGGGTTGGGTGGGAGTTGTTCATAGCTCCTTGAGGTACTGGCCAGCTGCCAATGCCTTGCTGGCTCTTTGGAGTGTGGGGAAATTGTGGTGGTGGAGCCATTACTGCTTTAAGAGGGTAATCAAAGGGAACTGTTATAAGCAGACTTTTCGGTAGCTAGAGAGACACATTTGTTGACTAATCTATAGAAGGTAGACAGTGAAGGAACTTGTTTTAGGATCTGATAACAATTCGTTTAGAACAACTGTTGTTCTCCATCAGGAGAGAGGTGGACGTGGATGTGGATGTGGAGAGCTTTGAACAACTTCCTCCAAACGTAGGATACAGGCAGTTTTCCTTGATGAATTGAGAGCAGTGTCAGGTGTGGTTGGGGTGGGGCGGCCATTGGAGGGGAGAAGTATGCCGTTTTGTGTCCACCACCACCTGGATGATGCCACGGTCATGGAACAGAAGCAGGTCTGACAGAAGCAGGTCTGAAATAAGTCCAATGGACTGCCGGTCCAGCTGTCGCCCCTCAGCTTCTTCGTCTGTAAAATGGGTCTACCTCTCTTGCAGAGATGTTGGGTGGCTCTAGTGAGATAATGGATACAAAGTGCTTTCTAACCTGTCAAGTGGGACACACATAAGGAAATGGTGACCGTCCCACCATTTGTTGTCTCTCCCTTGTGAGTATACATTCACCTGCACTTCAGCTTTGATTTTTGTTGTCCTCTCCTTAGCACCACAGCTTTTAGGTCATAGCAGCACACAAGGCTCTGTGCACAGCCATCTCTGTCCCCATGCCTGCTGCCTTCCAGCCCCTTCCATGCAGATATGCTGCTGTGATTCTCATTTTTGAATTCCACAGGTGGGGGAGGGGGATTTTATATTGGAAAACATTTCTGAAGAGAAAAATAATTGCCTCTGGAAAGAGACTTCTTTTCTCTTCCAAAAATTCATATTTGCTGGTTTAAATTGATGTGACTTTATTTTTTGGCTAGAACTCTGAAGTATTCCACTGAGCAATAATTATTCCTTTGGTATTACAGGAGGTTGTTCAGAGAAGGGAACTAAATCTAAGAGAGTGAATCCATCTGGTCCGTATGTTGAAGCTCTCTGAGGCCACTGACACTGAAATTCTAATGCTAGATTTTTATCTACTGGTATCATTTAGATGTTGATGTAATGTGAGCTAGTGCCTTGGGTTGCTGAGCTGAAGTCAGGCTGAATTCCATTCCCTTACATGGCACTTGGATGCCCTGTACAGTGGATTGATGACCTTCTTGGCAGGGCACAAAGGTAAGACAGACCCTGTATTCCAGTCTTGCCACCTGATTGTCAAACCCAAGCTGTCCCGGCCCCTAGCAGGGGTAGATACTAAAGGCCAGCAGCTGGAAGACTCAGTGCTTCCCAGTACCTAAAGCATCAGGAGCTAAGCTTGTCAGGATAGTAGAAGCCCACACCCCCGGTAGCTGACTAATTCTAGATTAGTCTGATACTTCGAGGGAAGAGTCCCTGGGGCCCATGGAGACTCATTAATCTTCACCCTTCCTTTTTACAATATGGTGTGGGTGAAGCCAGGGAGTATTCCAGGACCCCACTAAAGGCTATCCTATTTATTTGGGTCTCTGTCATCCAGCCTAGCCTTTGCTAGGCCTGGGGTGCTGGACTCTGTCTCTCTAGCTAGCTGCTAGCTAGGGCGCAATCCAAATACAACCTTTTGGAAACACGGTGCTGCCACCTGCCTGATGATTAGTACTGCCACTGTGCCAGATCTTTCCTTACCATATTGCCACATGAAATAACCAGCTTGCATTTGTCATGTTCTGTGGGTTTGTTTTTTTTTTTTTTTTTTTTTTTTTTTTTTTTTTTTTTTTTTTTTTTTTTTTTTTTTTTTTTTTTTTTTTTTTTTTTTTTTTTTTTTTTTTTTTTTTTTTTTTTTTTTTTTTTTTTTTTTTTTTTTTTTTTTTTTTTTTTTTTTTTTTTTTTTTTTTTTTTTTTTTTTTTTTTTTTTTTTTTTTTTTTTTTTTTTTTTTTTTTTTTTTTTTTTTTTTTTTTTTTTTTTTTTTTTTTTTTTTTTTTTTTTTTTTTTTTTTTTTTTTTTTTTTTTTTTTTTTTTTTTTTTTTTTTTTTTTTTGACCTTTGTTACCTGGATGGCCATTCAGCCCCCTTAGGGACAACTCTGGGGTCCTCCAAGGTGTGACTCTGCTTGATCTGTGCTCATTCTTCTTTTTCTGCTCTTCTTGCATTGAAGTCTTGTGAGTCCTCACTATTGCTATAAAAGTTCTGCTGCTAAGTATGGGAAATAGCCCACTTTATACCATAGTCCAGTTACATATTTATAGGAAGCTGTGGACATCTCACTGTTCACTTGGGGTTGAACTAAAAGTTCCTGCCTCCCTTCTCCAGGAATCATTAACCAAAAAAGCCACAAGAGAAGATTTGCCAGTCTCCTGTGAAATAAAATACTATGAGATACCAAACAGCTAACTGTCCAGATTTATTAGCAATATTTGGCTGCTTTAGCTTTTTGACATTTTTTTATCTTTCCTCTGTAGTCCAGTGTGAAAGAGACTCTCCAAGGCAAACTTTCATTGGGAGGAATTCAGAACTGCCATATGTCATCAGTACATGACCTAGGAGAGGCCAACAAAAGGATTACTGCCATTTTCCCAAAAAGCTATTAGTGAAGGTTATTGATTATTTTCTAAATACCTTCCACCTTCATCACAGGATATTATGATCATTAAAGAGGCACAGTCGTATATCTTTTAAAAAATAGTTTTCTACTTTTTTTCTTAATATTTACTGTGCTCAGGTCCCTCTTTAGAGCCCAAAAGGGACTTTTTTTCTTTACCCATAAGATTTGTCCTTGCCCTTGTGGCAAATGGACTTGAATCGCTGCTGCTTCTGTCAG